AAAAAACCATTTTGTGCGCACTCCAGGAGTTTCTCGTATATGGTCTTGTTACTGATCTGATTTGCTCAATCTATGTGCAGATTGAAGTCATCCATAATAACCCTAAGAACACAAGGTGTGGAAGCAGAACTAGGCTATTTGGCCCATAAGGCTGCTCCATCATTTGATCGTGACTGATAAGTTTCTCAACCCCATTCTCCTACCTTCTGTAACCGTTGGTCCCATTACCAATCAAGGACCTAATTACCTGTGTCATAAATACATTCAAAAACTTGGCCTCCACAATCCTCTACTGAGTTCCACAAAATCACTACCCTCTGGCTGAAAAAATTCCTCCTCATCTCAGTCCTAAAGGGTCATCCCTTCTCTCTGAGGCTGTGCCCTCAGGTTCTAGCCTTTTGTATTCGTAGAAACATCTTCTCCGTGTGCATCTATCCAGGCCTCACAGTATTCTGTAAGTTTCAATCACAGTCATATAGTCTGACGGCATGGAAGCAGACCCTCAGTCCAGCTAGTCCATACTGACCATGTTCTGAAACTAAAGGAGTCCCACCTGCCTGCACATGGCCCATTTCTTTCCAAACATTTCTTATTTATGTACTTATCCAAATGGCTTTTAAACATTGTAACTGTACGTATATCCACCACTTGTTTTGGAGGTTTATTCCACATACAAACCACGCTCTGTATAAAAAGATAGCCCCTCTTTTTAGAATGTATCTCCTCTCACCTTAAAAATATGCCCCCTAGTCTTGAAATCTCCCACCCTGAAGTAAAGACACCTTCCATTCACTTTATCTATACCCCTCAAGGGCAGGACCTATACAATTAATGGTAGGGCCCTGGATAGTGTTGTACCTAGATATCTTTGTACGTAAGATTGTGCCATAAGTGGCCACTTGTAAACTGTTCCTTGTACTCGTGAGTACATGTGACTCCAGTGATTTCTGAAAGATCACCACCAATTCCTCTACAATCTCCTTCAGAGCTCTGGGGTGTAGTCCATCTGGTCTTGGTGATTTATCTATCTGCAGATGTTTCAACTACCTCAGCTCCTTCTCCTTAGTAATGGCCACTACACTCACTTCTGACCCATGTTTCTCTCGAAGTTCTGGTATGTTGTTGGTGTCTTCCACTGTGAAAACTGATGCCGATTCAGTTTCTCCACAATTTCTTTGTGCCCTAGTATTACTTCTCCAGCCCCATTTTCCAGTGCTCCAGTGTCCACTCTTGCCTCTCTGTAACCTTTCAGATACCGAAATGGGTATCAGCTTCTTTTATATTACTAGCTAGCTTACTCTCATATTTCATCTTATCCCCCTTTTTTTTTAGTTACTCTGGTTTTTGAAGGTTTCACAATCCTCTGGCTTCCACAAATCTTCACTACGTTTTATGCTTTTTCTTTTGATTTTATGCTGTACAAAACCCTGGTGCGGCCACATCTGGAGTATTGTGTCCAGTTCTGGTCGCCTCATTACAGGAAAGATGTGGAAGTGTTGGAAAAGGTGCAGAGGAGATTTACCAGGATGTTGCCTGGAATGGAGGGACGGTCTTATGAGGAAAGGTTGAGAGAGCTAGTGCTTTTCTCTTCAGAATGACGAAGGATGAGCAGTAACTTGATAGGTGTACAAAATGATCTGAGGTATAGATAGAGTGGACAGCCAGAGACTTTTTCCTCAGGTGGAGGTAGCTATTACGAGGGAGCATAGTTTTAAAGTGATGGAGGTAGATAGGCTCTTTACTCAGAGAGTGGTAGGGGTATGGAGTACATTGCTGGAGAAGGTAGTGGAGTTGGCCTCATTAGGGGCATTTAAGAAGCGCAATTAGATAGGCATATGGATGATAATATAAGGTAGGGGTGGAGGTTAGATAGACTTTAGGTTTAGGGTAAAAGTTCAGCACAACATCGTGGGCCAAAAGGCCTGTACTGTTCTATGTTCTATGCTCTGTCTGACTTTCCTAGTCAGCCATGATTGCGTCATCCTCCCCTGAGTATGTTTCTTCATCCTTGGGATGAATTTCTGCAGTGTCTCCTGAATTACCCCAGAAACTCCTGCTATTGTTTCTTCACTTTCTTCCCATTTAGGTTCCCCCTTCCAATCAACTCTGGCCAGCTCCTTCCT